AGTGATGCTTGAGCAAAGAGCCAGGAATAAGTTCTGAGCACTGCTGGGTGCTCAGAAATGGCCCAAAATGGCCCAAAAATGAGGATAAAATCATCAGAGCCTGGTAGCCTGGTTTGTAACTCAGCAAACTGGTTTGATCTCAGTTTCAACTGCTTTGAACTTAGCAGAGACAGACTGAGGGAGGAGAGGGGAGAACAGATGAGAGAGCCAGAGAGATAGTTCAACAGACTGAGCACATGCTTGCTGGGAGCAATCCCAAGCACTGAGCACCCCTGGGTGTGATCTTAAAAAAAAAAAAAAACAGGACAGATTAGGGCTTAGGAAAAATGTTAAAACTTAAGCAAAAAATGGACAAGAAGTTCGAAGTGCTAGGGGGCCAACAAAATAGTACAGACGGCAGGGCACTCGCCTAACATGTGGCTGACCCGGGTCCCATCCTAGGCACCCCTTAAGGGCCCATGAGTCCTGCCAGGAACGATTCCTGAGCAGAGGCAGGAGTGAGCCCTGACCACTGCCAGGCATGGCCCCCAAAGCTCCCACCACCACCACTATCACCACCAAAAAAGCAAAATCTCCGAAGAACTTTTTTTCAAACCACCTCAGGTCTTCATCTCCTCTCTTTCTAGGTTTATTTTTAGAGCAGTAAAGTACAAAAAGTCCCCTGCACAGTGCCCAGGAGTGACCCCAAGCACCACGCGGGGAGCAGCCCGAGGACTAAAGGAATGTGACCTAAAGGAACGAATAGGAATCAGATCAACTAATAAAATGGGTCAGAAAGAGTCATCTACAGGACTGGGTACGGAAAGGTGGAAAGGTGATATGCATGATAGCCTCTCAGTAGCAGCACTGTAAATCACCAGGCCTAATACGGAAATAGAAAAAGAAAACAGTGCCTGCCATAGGAGGCGGGCTCGGGGACAGACAGAAGGAAACTGGGACACCGGTGGAGGGAAGCAGACACTGGGGAAGGGACTGGTACTTGAATACTGTATACCTGAAACGAAATCAGGACTAACTTTGTGGCTTACGGTGATTCAATTTAAAAAATATTTCAAAAAATTGGGGGGGGGTTGTTTTGGGGCATAATCCTGGCTCTGCACTTGCTGGGGATCAAATCCGGGTTGGCTGCATGCCAGGCAAATGCTCTACCCACTGTACTATCTCTCTGGCCCCCTAAAGTATTTTTTTAAAAAAGAGAATCATCTTAGTTCCTAACTAATTATTTGTGCACTGCTCTTCTCAAATCCTTTGCTAGTCTTAGGTCATAGATATTTAGGCTCTCATTAAAAACAAAACAAAATAAACACTAGCCGAGAGAGACAGCTCAGTGACTAGAGTTCATGCTTTGCAAATGGAGGACCTGGCCTTGATTCCAGCAGCCCAATGTTCTGGCATCACCAAGAGCAACCCTTGAGAACACAAGAGGGAATGGCTTTCTGAGCACTGCCAGTAGAGACCCCCAAACAAAGAGTGAAATATTTATAACCAGGCAGATAATTCAGCGAGTAGGGGTACATGGGCCCTGAATCTGAACCCTAGTATCACACCCTTATACCCCCTGCATCACCTTCACGTGCGACCCCCCGGAGGCCCCCAGCACTGAAAGGCCTGAAGCAGAAGCACATCACTAGCCTGAGCATTGAAGGGTCTAGCCTGGGTGGGCAAATACTGCCAGAAGTGGCTGTGTCTTGTGAACATTGCTTGCGAACCAAAATTAAATTATTTAGGGCCCTGAGGAATAGTGCGGTGGCTTACAGCAGTGTTCTTCAACCACCAGTCTACAGGCCGCTGAGGTCTGCAGGGGCTGAAGACCACTGGTCTACCATCTCGGTTCTAACTGCCAGTCAGTCTGTGACCAGCCACAGGTGTGGAAAGGCTGTGGAAAGCTGGATTGCGGTGCTTGCTCTCCAAGTCCTTAGTCCTGAGTTTAATTCCCTGGCATCACTAATGCACAGAGCCCAATCCCAGCAGAATCGTTCTGCTCTGTTGTCTGCAAGCACCACCAAAGGGCGTAATCTGTGGCCAGAACTGTGGTTCCTGGTGAGCACAACCATAACCTGTGTGGCTCAACCACAAGAGTAGCTCCCAGCATGCAAGTGTACAAAGCACCACACATGGGTCTATACACAACACCTGTGCGTGGCAACATCAACAACAACGAAGGGAAGCAGAAACAAAGGAACTTCACTTGGGGGCAGGATAGAGAATACAGGGGTTAAGGCCGAGTGGCTGACCCTGGTTCAACTCCTGGCATGTAGCCCCCCAAGCACCAGTGGGAGCAATACCCTCCCAAGCACAGAGCCGCAGAAGCACCCCAGCACTGCCAGGTAGGACCCAACTATCCTCATATTCACCCCCAAAATGAAACTTTTAAGCAGGCAGGGAGGGAGGTTCCCAGGTGGCACTTTTCAGCTCTGGTATCGTATCGGTGCCTGCCAGTGTCTGATCAGAGCCTCCTGCCTCCCAACCGATGTCGAGTCTCAGCTGGGAAGACCTACAGGTGAGCAATTCAGCAATTGGGGACAAAAATCACTTGAAGGCATCTTCAACTAAGTTGATGGCAACTGCTGACTGGCATCAGTCAACTCTATCTGTGACACCAGCACCGACCTCTCAACTCCATCTGTGACTCCAGCACCTATATCTGGGTTCTCAGTGTGCCCGGGATTTCAAGCTGGGTGGCTCTCACCTTACAGGGCCACTCAGCGCTCCAACTCGTCTCAGCTGGCACGTAAATGGTAGATGATGGGGCTGGAACAATAGCACAACGGGTAGGGCGCTTGCCTTGCACACGGCCGACCCGGGATCGATTCCCAGCATCCCATATGGTCCCCCGAGCACCGCCAGGGGTAATTCCTGAGTACAGAGCCAGGAGTAACCACTGTGCATTGCCATGTGTGACCCAAAAAGCACAAAAAAATAAAACAGTTAAAAAAAAAAAAGGCAGATGAAAAGAACAGGGTTCCATGTGGCATTGGGAAATAAATCAACACACTAAGCCCTGATGGGGATTCTAAGATTTTTATTTACAAAAAGAAATAAAGCCAATATTTATTGTTATTGACAACGCTACACTGCCCCAGTGGGGCTCCACAAGAGCAAATGCCGTAGGTGCCCTGGGAGGGGGACACAAGCTGCCACTCCCTGATGCTCGGTGTTGGGGACTGCACCCAGGCTGTCAGACATGCAAGGCAAGAGCTTGACGCCTCGAGTCACAGTCCCTCTAGGTGTTTAAATCAGTTGGCTGGGAGTTTGCTCAAGGGAAGACTGCATGCTTTGTGAATGTGTGGCCTGGATCTGATCCCTGTGTCACTAAAAAAAAACAAACTAAACACAAAAAACTGAAAATGTGGTGGCCAGCCTGTAACAACAGTGAAGAAATGTTAAGAGTAGTTATTTATATAATACAACAAAAGGTGATCTTCAATTACTTCTACATACTTTTTAATTCTTAGTAGTTATAATTTTGTTCTTGGTTTTGTATTTTGGGATGTGCAGCGTTCAGGACACCTCACAACACCCGTGTCCGAGCCCAGGCCTCCAGTCTGCAAAGTGCACATTTTAATCCTTTGAGTATCCCTCTCCCAAGCCCTAAGTCTTAATTATTCACATTTCATTTTTCTTTCTTTTTTTTTTTTCGCTTTTTGGGTCACACCTGACAACGCACAGGGGTTACTCCTAGATCATGAACTCAGAAATTACTCCTGGCGGTGCTCGGGGGACCATATGAGACCCGGGTCGGCCGCATGCAAGGCAAACACCCTACCTGCTGTGCTAATACTCCAGCCCTCACATTTCATTTTTCATAGCCAATTTTTATCTAAAATATTGGTACAGGCAGAGCGAGAGTACAGCGGGTCGGGTGCTTGCCTTCCATGTATCCAACTTGGGTTCAATCCTGACACCACATGTGCTCCCCTGAGCCCCACCAGTAGTGATCCCTGAACTGAGAACCTGGAATAAGCCCTGAGCACCACCAGGCAGGGCCTAAAAGAACCAAATTAAACAAATGGCATAATTACCATGAATTGACACACTTGGCCAATTTTGAGTGAATTTAAGGTTTGAGAATGATGGTGATGTTTTTCTGAAACTGCCATTTATCCCTGTTCAAATATTTCCTGAGAACTTAGATTACCCGTTCTCTATCATAAAAATTTATAACCTCCATATCTGTGGAACTCTCATTTCAGCAACAGTCCCTTAGTTCATGACAAGGCCTATCACACACAACAGAGACCCGACTCTGCCCTTAGTCTTCTTTAACTGCACAGCCACAGAGACATCATGGTTTGACTTTTTATTTTATTGGGTTTTGGGCCCTCACCTAGCAGTGTTGGAGCTATTTTTGGTTCAGTGCTCAAAGGCTGTTCCTAGTGATGCTGTGACCTGGGAATCACAAAGCAGGTATTCAAGCCCTTGAGCTATACGCCCAGCTCTGATTTGACTTTTTAATCCCAGAAAAGGCAGAAAAAAACAATTGTTTTGATTAAAATATTAATGAGGAACCTGAGTGATAGTACAGTGGGTAAGGTGTTTGCCTTGCACGTGGCCTACCCAGATTTGATCCCCAGCATCCTATATGGTCCCCCGAGCACCAACGGGAATGATCCCTGGGTAAAGAGCCAGGAGTAACCCCTGAGTATTGTCTGGTGTTACCCCAAAACAAACAAACAAAAATGAGCAAAATATTAATGAAACTGTAAAGGGCATACTTTGCTAACAGAACATACCAATTTGTATACATGGTTATATTCTCTCACAGGAAGTCTCTGGAAATGAGATCAGTCACCTGGGACTGACTGAAGAGATGCTGAGGGATCCAGGCACATGCCTTGTACACGGCTAACCCCGTGAGCACCGCAAGGAGTAATCTTTGTGTATTCAGCCAGGTATGACCCAAAAACCAAATTAGAAAGGGGGGAAAGAAAACGAGAACACCTAAAGAAAGTGTTATGTGACAATTAAGTTTCCTTGATTTTGTCTCGAAAAAGTTTTACCTCGTCAAATCCAGCAGCTTGCAAATCTTGAAGCATTTGGGGGTTGACTTCTGCAGAACACCGGGAGGAAGAATTTGTTTCATTGGCAAATGGCAGTAGAGAGTTTCGAATTTCTAGCAAGGCTTTATGATGCATCCCGAATTTGGGAGGATTTCTGACTTGTCGAGGATCTTCAGTTAACATCTTACTCATGTTATGTTCGGCCTTCGCTGCATCCGATGGTCTGGATAAATTTCTAAGAGATTCCCGAATTTCTTGTAACATTTGCCTGCTGCTGCCAGTGTAGTTACTGGCAGGAAAGGTCTTAGGCCTCATCTGTCTATAACCTTCGGGCTTTTCACTCCTCTTCATGAAAACATCTATATGTATATAATCCACACAAAGGACTTCTTTAAGAGCTACTTGATAAATCCACAGCTTTGTCCTGAGCAGAACAGAAAAGATCCTTCACAGAAGTTTCCGGTACTGTTTACAATCAATATAATTAATCCTAAAAGGGAAACAGAAGAAATAAAAGTTTGAAAAAGATTAACTGATAAGAGTCATACAATAAACACTGGGAATAGGGATGTCGGGGAAGAAAGGACTCTACTAGCATAAGAGTTAGAGATCTTGGTTTCATTATTAATGTTTACTACATGATTAAGGCAAGTTCCTAAACCTTACTGTGCTGACCTCTACTCCATAAAATTACCTCCTCTAGTAAACAGTTGTCAGGATAACAAGGGTGCTCAGGATTTATTCCAAGCCTCAAACTCTGGGCTCACTCTTTATTTATTTATTTTTAGGTCACACCTGGAGATGCTCAGGGGTTACTCCTGGCTCTGCACTCAGGAATTACCCGTGGCGATGCTCAGGGTACCATATGGGATGGTGGGAATCGAACCCGGGTCAGCTGCGTGCAAGACAAACGCCCTATCCACCGTGCTATCACTCCAGCCCTGTCCGGGTTCACTCTTAGAGGTGCTCGGGAGACCGTATGAAATGTCAGGGATCAAATGTAGGTCAGCAGCATGCAAGGTTAGCACCTTACCCACTGCACTATCTCTTTAGTCCTAACAATCAAAAATTAATAAATATTAAGGACCTAGAATGATAGTACAAGGGGTAGAGCACTTACCTTGCAATAGGCAGACCCAGGTTAGATCCCCAGCACCCTATATGTTCCTCCACACCCCCGTGAGGAGTGATCCCTGAGCACCAAGCCAGGAGTAAAGTCCTGAGCACTGCAAGGTAAGAACCTCCCCAAAAAGGATTTAAGATTTTTAAAAAAACTTTATATGATTTCTTTAGTAAGCATCTGAAGTATATATAGGATTAAAGTGAACAAAACTATACACAACCTCTTGGTTGAGAAGACATTTCAAAGCATTGCATGCAGGGGCTGGAGAGATAGTACAGCAGGTAGGGCATTTGCCTTGCACGCGGTCGACCCAGGTTCGATTCCCAGCATCCCATATAGTCCCCTGAGCACTGCCAGAAATAATTCCTGAATGCAAAGTCAGGAGTAAACCCTGTGTATCACCAGGTGTGGCCCAAAAAGCAAAAAAAGAAAAGAAAAAGAAAAGGAAAAAAGCTTTGCATGCAGGAACACTGGGTTCCACCCTTGGTATCACATAATTTCCTGAACACCACCCTTGAGCACTAAGCCAGGGGTGGTCCCAGAGCCCTCCAAACAGACAATCTCTCAATACCAATTTCACCTAGCAGCTCCAATTTTCGATTTCACAGGCTAGAATTTAAGTCCAAGACTTCTGGTACAGGCTTGCTCTTCAAGCCCGGGTGCTCCCTTGCTTGTCTCTGGGCTGCTTCTGCCTGCCTATTTCTCCTCTGGAGAACCCTGTGTTTTCTCTTGATCATATACTTCTCTCTTTCTCCCCCTTCACATCTTTCCAGCTAAGTTTCAATAAAAACTTTTTTATTTTGCTTCACAAAAAAAAAAAATAGATTTATGGGACAGAGAAATAGTACAGTGTGTAGGGGGCCTGCCGTGCATGCAGCCAACTAGGGTTCAATCCCCAGCACCCATCCGGTCCCCTGAGCACAGGCAGGAGTGATCCTAAGCTCAGAGTAAGCCCTGAGTACGATGTAGCCCCCCCCCAAAAACAAAACAAAACAAAACAAGAAAGATTTTTCAAGCTCAGAAAACAACTTCTGTCTTAAAAACAGATGAGTTTATGGGGCCGGAAAGTAAGGCTTACTCTCAGTAAAGGTACCTACCCTGGAAGCAGCCAATCCAGTCTGATCCCTAGAACCCCATATGACTTCCCAAGCCCCACCAGAGAGATCCCTGAGTACAGAGCTAGGATTAAAGTCCTAAGCAATGCCCATATGACCCCCCATCAGAAACAAAAATCTTATAGTGTATTTTACTATTTATATAAAAAAATTCCATCCTTGCTGAAAAATTCAAATACTATATAATTACATAAAGTAGAAGTTCTATATAAGTCACCTCCCACAATATAAAGAATCATTGTAGACCAAAACAAAAAACGGCGTCCCAAAAACATCCACCGCCTAATCCTGGGATTCTGTAAATTTCAGTTTATTTGGAGAAAGGGATTTGCTGATGTCATAAAGTTAAGGGTCTTGAGATGGGAGGACTGCACGGATCACCCAGAAGAGCAGACAGCAGTTACAAGAGTCCCTGTGAGAGGCCGAGGGAGACTTGCTGTGGAGATAACTGAGGCACAGAGGTGAGAACAATTTGACTGAGGGGGCTGGATGGGGTGGTGTGGCAGAGGAGAAGGAGGCTAAGGAATGCCAGTTGGGGACCAGTACCTACTGGATTTGGGGCCCTCAGAGCTGTGAGAGAATGCTGTGTGTTCAAAGCCATCAAGTTTGGGCCAGAGGAATAGTATTGTGGGTAAGGCATTTATTTGCCTTGCACACCTGACCCGGGTTCACTACCTGGCACTCCCATATGGTCCCCCGAGCACTGCCAGGAGTGATCTCAGAGCACAGAGGCAGGAATATGCCCTGAGCACCACTGAGTGTGGCCCAAAACAAAACATATTCCGGGGATATGGTGCCGCCAGCAAGTTAACCAGTACCTGCATGGCGAGTGCATCAGCCGCCTGATGGTGCCTCCAGGCTTCCTAATACCCCCAAATTGCTGCTGTGCCTTTGGCTGAACCCAAACAACTTGGGACTAAGTTTATTAAGAAATTAAAGAGCCAAAAAAGTTAGGTATGTGGGAGCCACAACCACAAACCACCTCTGGCTTAGCTATACAAACTCACTTATTGGCCTTATTTCAGAGACCCATAAATAAATCTCAAAAGAGATTAAAAGCTGCAGTTAACCTCAGACACGAGCATGGCAGAACAGACTGGGGTAAATCGGAGGGGGTGGGTTACTCTGGGGCCCGCCCAAGCAGAGTCCCCAATAGCCACTTGCTTCCACGATCCAAAGTCGCCGTCATTCCTCCCGGCCTGACTCCACTGTTTTCAGGACAGACCTCACCAAGATACAATCTGCTGAAAATTTGGGTATGCAGGTTTTGTGACTGAAATCTCCAGATTTTTGCAGAGTCAGGATGGGCTACCTCCCCCCCACTTCCCAATAGTCCCGGAAGCACTGGCAGTCACCCCAGAACCAACTCTGGTGCCACCATGTAAGTTCTACTACCAGCCTTGCTTCAGAGACCCACAAAAAAGATGTCGAAAGAGACCAAAGGCCGCAGTTACTCTTCGACCCATGCATGGCTAAACTGGCCAGGGTAAATCAGAGAAGGGGCGTGGATTGTCCTGGGGCCTGATCAAGAAGAGCCCCTTGTAGTCACTTGCTTCCACAATCCAAATTCGCCACTGTACCCCCAGCCTGACTCCACCATCTCAGGGCGGACCTCACCAAGATATAATCTGCTTTAAATTTGGGCAAGCAGGTTTTGTGACTGAAATCTCCAGGTTCAATCGGGGTCAGGATGGGCTATCTCCCCCCACACCTCCCTGTACTTTCGGAAGACTCAGTATTCACATCCACACCCCAAAGTGGCCACCCAAATGAAATGCTACTCCAGCCTTACCGTCCCAATAAAAATACTGAATTCCCAGAACAAACACCATGACCTCTTAACACCTGTGTTGCACACCATAATGCACGAAAGGAAAAGGAGAAAGAGAGAGAATAAGAAGGAAAGTACCTCCCATAGAGGGAGGCTGGAGGTTGATTGGAAAATGGGAACATTGTTGGTGGGAGGGTGCTGGATCACTGTATGACCAAAACTCAATTATGAACAGCTTTGCGATGGTCTATCTCACGAATATTAAATTGAAAGAATTTTTTTAATTAAAAAAAAGTAATGTGGCGTTCGTGTCCAATTCAATCAGCTTAATCAATGGCTGAATAAACAGCAGTATTCCTACGATTAAAAAAATATTCTAATTCAAATACAAAATAAACTAAAACCTACACAGCATTTCTACTTAAAGAAACCATGACGGAAGGTTCCAGACAGATAGTCTAGGAAGGGTTAAGGCACTTGCCTTGCCTGCAGCTGACCCTGGTTCATTCCCAGGCACTGCTTAATAGTCCCCTGAGCAGTGCCAAGATTGATCCCTGACCACAGAGCAAAGAGCAAGCCCTGAGTATCACAGGGAGTGATCCAAACCCCATCCCACCCTCATACACTCACTGTAAACACTGTCCTCCCATTGTTCATCGATCTGCTTGAGCGGGCCCAATAACGTCTCCATTGTGAGACTTCGTTGTTACTGTGTTTGGCATATCGAATACATCACAGGTAGTTTGCCAGGCTTCGCCATGCAGGCGAGATACTCTCGGTAGCTTCCCGGGCTCTCCGAGAGGGGCGGAGGAATCGAACTTGGTCAGACGAGCTGGCCGCACGCAAGGCAAGTGCCCTACCGCTGTGCTATCACTCCAACCCCCATACACTCAAAAAGCCCTATTTTTTACCATAGTGATTAGAAGAAATCTAATACTGGAGGCTCAAGAAAACAGAGAAAGGTGTTCTCTCTCTCTCTCTCTCTCTCGGCTCAAGAAAACAGAGAAACGTGTTCTCTCTCTTTCTCTCTCTGTTTATATTTGGGGGTGCCCATCCCTGGTAATGTTCACAGGCAACTCCTGGCTTGGGGATTGCTCCATGAGTTACTGAGGACAAAACTCAGGCGTCCAGCTTGCAAAGCATATGCTCCAGTCCTCTGGCCAAAGTGACAAGGAGCCTACTTAACCTGTAGTTGTATGAAGAGTTTGGAAAAAGGATTCATCTTAGATATGTGTATTAGCTGCCACTGGTTGTTTGGCAATGTACAGATAAACAGTAAGGTCAGAAAAGAGCCACCATTTGTGGCTTTGGTTTTTGTGGGAGGGCACAGCTGCTGGTGCTCAGGGGTTACTCCAGGAGGGCTTGGGGGACCATAGAGGATGCCAGAGATCAAACTTGGGTCGGCCATATGCAAGGCAAGAAACCAACCCACTGTACTATCTCTCTGGCCACTGTTTTGCAAGCAGAAATACAAAGGTAGA